AGTGTTGGTGGCCTTAATGTCTTCTCTAATCTTGTCTTCTCTAATCATATAGGAGAAGAAGAGCATTGGGACGAGTATGCTCAAACAAGTCAGAATCGTGCAAATATGTAGCCTTGATAATTTGAATGTATAGTAACAAATTTTAGTAAGAAATTTAACAAGAATATTCGGTAGTGAAAAAGAAAAACAAAGTAATGTTTCTTACCAATTTCTTTCTTATCCTAGTGAAACTCCTTTTACCCGTTATGTGCATATTCTTTTACCATTTGTGATTTTCAACATTTATCTCTATCATGATCTACATAATAATTTCAATTAAAAGCATTAGCATAAACTTTGATGAAATAAATAAAATATAAAGCGAGTAGTGAAAAAAATTTAAAACTCTTATACCTTAGTATGATATGAATTTCAATACTTCAACAATTCTCTAAACTTATCCTCTGGAATGTGTTTTGGATGATTTAGCATTCTAAGCTTATCAGTTTTGTACTTATAATAATGATCCTTCTTTAATCGACAATTATATAACCTCCAATTATCTCTTATTGTGGCCAAACCCCATTTCTTGCCTTCGGAAGGAACTATGTATTTTTTTCTACATTAAGAATAAAGGTTGTGATTAGCATTAAATATGAGCATGGATTATATAAATTGACCATGACAACATACAAGTATCATGCTACTGCTTCTCAATAACTACATGTAAAAGAAAATTCATGAGAACATGCATAACCTTGTCCGAAAGCAACATAACACCGATCCACACAAATCTTAGCATTAATCCATGCACTTAAAAGCCTTGATCTTGAGAATTACTATGGTTTTGGTCCCCTAAATGATCACTATATACGGTATGCAATCAAAGTCCCATATAACATGCCATATTTAAAGACACCACTCCTTCTAATAGAGATATAATGCTATTGTCGGATGTTGCTCTTGTTCTACTGCGCAAACACATTATTGTTAGGTATAGAATTTTCATGTAGTTACAATTCAGAAAAATGATGCAAACGGATGTCCCAACGGAAATTAAGCGAGATAATAAATTAATCAAACACTAGGCCACTAGTCAAGGAAGAGAGAGTTTAGGATTAGGCACGCAAATGAAGGGGTTCATCAGTTTATTCTTGAATTAATTACATGAATTAAGTAGAAATAGAAAGAGATAAAGTTAAATGACTTACTAGAACATATTTCCATAATGCTTCCTTAGTAAGTATCTTGAGCCAATTAACATGATTCAATGGTGCGAGACTTCCATTTCGGGCCAATGTTCCCCAAAAGCTACTAAACTCATTCAAAGTCTTATCATCGGGGCCTATTGGTTGGTTTGCTTCATTTAGGAAAATAGGCTTTCTATCTTCAATGGCCAATTTATGTACTTCTTTCACTCGTTGTTGGCTCTCTTTTTCTTTTACTTGACGATCCTGTACCAAAAATATATAAATTTGTAATGCAAGTTGTATTCATATTCATAGTATTATAACTTGAAATCATAATTATACTTGCTTCATGTGTAGGTTCATTCATTTCTTCTATAATTGGTGGAGTTTCGGAGTCTATTGATTGTGCATTTCTCTGGATTTGCATTTCAGAATTCAGATTCTCTTTATGTATAGCTTGTTGCTCTTGTTCTTCAACTCTGTACCTCTTTTTGAACCTCTTTTTCTTGCTCCACTTGTGATTGTTGATTCTCTCCATTTACCGGTTGTTGCATCATCAAATACGATGAAATTGATCTAGATGGACATAATGGCTGTTTGTCCTTCTTCCTAGGAGTCTGTTTCTTTCCTTTCTTCATCATTGAGAAATGCTAAAATCAAGTTTTTCTTGACAAATTATGGTCACAGCTATACTGCTACCGATTTGTTACAGGATGCTCTGCAAAGGAATATTGCAGTTTATTTACATGCAACTGCACAGCAGATCTTGCTTACAATAAGAGGTTAATAAGCATGTCCTAAAAAATATATATTACATTATTACCTTAATTTTCATATCCTAAAAAAAATCAATCACTGCCAGTATTTGGAGATAATGAATGTTTGGCAACGAATTATCTCACCCTTCATTTAATCTTATTTCAATGGCATCCATCTGATTAGAGTTCAACACACAAACTAATCACATAAGTATATTACACGAGAAAGTCTGATTTCACTGCGAGTATTCTCAAGACATCTGTGAAAAAGAATATCTATGATGGACTCATTAAAGGATTGATCTTCATAGCTTAGAAGGCATGCATTCATTTAACCGAGAAGCTTACATGCAATAATATTGAAGTCTACCTTGTTTGCTGCCTTTGCCAAGTCCAGAATTGTTTGTAGGTGTTGTGTTCGGAATTTTATAACCTATAAACATAAAACACCAATAAGAAATAAAATATCAGTTTTTATAGGTCATTAATTAATCAAAGATAATATTCAATACTAACACAATGGACCTCTTTTAGATATAAGTTGTAATAACAACCTGCTTGGCCAAAAGCATTGAACAAGTCAGATCCATTAGGGAACAAATATTATTGATAGATACAACATTAATTGGTGGATAGTGATTAAAGGATTTGTAACAGTGATTAATGACAATGTTTCTTTATTCAAGATGCAGGGGAGCTGCATGCTATGAAGGCAATGAAAAATCTATGATTCTGAATCGTAACAAGGTGTGAAGAACCAAGAGTTATTTCCTAGATACCTAGCAACTATGTCACTCAATTCATATTCTTTTCAACATATAGTGAACTCAAGAAGGTAGGAGATCATTTATCAAAAAGGAAAACGTGAATTAAACTACTGTATCTGTTACACACTTAAGAGCACCCAAATGCAGCATGCTCTGATGCAAGCAAACAGCAATTCATAATGCTGTGAAGTTTGTCCATAGAGTTACATTTCATTCTAGGATAAGCTAAGAGGAAGCAAAATAAACATATAAGCACGACATAATTAGAAATACTAAAATTTAGTAAAAATTGCAATTGCCGGCAGAACAACCATGTAGATACTGTATCTGTTTGGATCAGAGAAGGGATGTTTATGGTGCTTGGGAATAGTATCTTGGACTGGAGCATTCTGACAATGCTATTAAAAGGTCATATGCTACTAATCAGGTATTTACTTGCCTTGTAATAAGAGTTATTAAACTCATAGGGAAGGTTATTGAGCGAGCTAAAAAATGATTATTGAAATTATGATGGCAGATAATGGTATAAATCTGTTTAAGCTTTGCTAAATAAAATTTCCAAGATCTTTTGGAAAATGCTAATTAGGCATGTGGCTCTAACAGCGCAAGCAGCCAATCCAGAATCATTCTAAAACAAGACACTCAACATAATGTGATGAGCCTGAGCGCAAAACTTTCTTATCATTGTAAAATCTTTTATTGAAATAGGAACATCCATACTGCCGTAGGAAAATTAGCCCTAGTGGTGGGTTCAGACATAGTAACACTGGAGACACAATGAATGAGCTAAGGTCATGGATTAAATTGAAGTTCTAAGCAAGCAAAAAATGTGGGAATTTAAGGAGAGAAAAGCAGCTGTTTGCTTGCTGGGATAAGAGATTTTGGTTTTAGGAGATTTTAAGAAGCAAGAAATGTAGGAATTTATGGATTAATTTAAGAATCTAGGTTGGTGGTAGCCAGAAAAAACATTTAAGATTAATTACATTTTTGGTTCAATTAATGTTGAGAAACAACATATCAATGGCAGAAATTATGCGATAGGGAATGAAGAAGAGAAGAATGACTCCTTGGAGCATGCATGCTTCTAAAGCAAATCGTAGTACTTATTATTGCATTACAACGGGTATGAGAAAAAATTCCCAACACACATGTATTCCTTTGTTGCCACATGCAGTTTTCATTTCCTTCCATTGATAGTGTGTGTGTGTGTGTGAGAAAGAGAGAGAGAGAGAGAGAGAGAGGAGAATTGGTAATGCAGGAAATGAGTAGTGATCCTGCTTGGCAACCACTGTGATGATAGGATCTGGGTGAAGGTTAATGGTACTGCCAGAAAGGACAAAAAAATTCCTAAAAAGTGAAACAACGTATGAGACTTGAAAATTTCCAAAGGAACTAATATGTCTGGTACTAATATTTAGTATTCATATCCAACAACTCTCGACAAGGCTGCAAATCGCAACCACTACAAATTCTACAGCAAATCAGGTGGTTTTTGCAACTAGCATGAATGCATCCACAACACATACATGTGTGAAGCATACTTTTCGAATATCATTCTAACGATGCCAGCATAAACTATTGACAACACATACCTTTGAATGATTGCATGCCATTATTGACAAGATCTTTTGGAAAATGCAAAGTTAGGCCTCAAAATGAGGAAGTGAAACTAGTGCATCTGTTGAATTCAATACCCTCATTGAATAAAAACTATTGCAAAATGAGCAAAGAAGGAAGAAACAAGCTTTCAACCAAAGCAAATTAATGGTTTTGATAGATGTGTAATTCTTTCATGTAGGGAGAGGGTGGTGAACTTATGGCCTAAGAACTGTGTTCCCTCAATAGTTTTAACCTCTCTCTTACATAATTATGAAGTAAATTCCATAAAAACAAACAAGCATACATATAAACTAAAAGCAAGTTAATACTCTAAATTAGTGGTATCATCATTCCTCTAATCGGTAAATTCCATAAAAACAATCAAGTAAGACAACTCAAGTCGGATGGAAACAAATATAATCCATATGGCATGGTTACCCCTATAGCAATGAAGTGTAATAGAATCTCAAGAGGCACATCAAGTGCAAGTAAGAGAACTCCGAGCAAACTACGTGACACTCTTTTAAACTTCTAAATATACTTAACTAGCTACTTCCAATTCAAAATAAAAACTTTCCCAATCAACATACATATAAACTAAAAGCAAGTTAATACTCTAATCGGTATCATCTAATTAAACATTATATAATTAGATTTTAGTATAAGAAGAAATCAGCATATATATAAACTAAAAGCAAGTTAATACTCTAATCGGTATCATCTATATCGGAATCCTCTTCTACTACAACATTTGATTGTTGAGCTTCTAAAATATGTGGAGGCACATGTAGAGTTTCAACGAGTTGCATCTTCTCTAGCCCATCTAATGGGGTCATCATCACATGTAGCACACGTATCATTGTTAAAGTCATTATGCTTTCCCCAAAAGCATCTTGAATGTTCGAACAATTGGATTGTTGAAGGTCAAATAAATCTCTAGGAACCATTTTCATAACATAATGAAGGCCTTCCATAATAGGATCTTCAATGTAGAAAACTTGATGCGCTTGAGAAGCCATAACAAAAGGATTATCCGAGTAACATAACTTGTTAAAATTTACACAAGTAAGACCATATTCATCTCTCTCAACTTGAAACCAAACACACCTAAATAATACAACACTAAAATGGCCCCAGTAATCAATTTCAACTATTTCATCTATAGAGCCATAATATGTGACATCTCCAATAACATGATTTTAGTCCGTAGCACTTGCAAAACTAGGAGTTAATGCTTGCAAAGTGACTCCCCTATTTTATGTTTTGCATCTTGCATCATGTTTCCTAGTGTGAAAGCGATATTCATTTATAAAATACCCAATATATCTCTTTCCTATAGGATTTGGTCCTTTAGACAACCACAATATATAGTCCGGCACTTGCTCATTCAACACTTTCTCTTCAAACCAAAATATAAAATCTTGGCTATGGTTTTATGCTCTTGCCTATCTACTTGATATACCTTGATTGTTAATGAAATTTTGGTGCTCTCTGCATTGAAAAGATCACCATAAACATCATCAAACATGTGCAACCTAACAAACAAGAAAAAGAAACTAGATCAAACACTAATGAAATTGTCTTACTCAATATAATCCTCAACATGTTTATCTCCACAATTGAACAAGGCATAATGATGTGCTTGTGCCAAAGATTAATAGTCTAAAGTGAATGTTTTGCCTTACCTCTTCCTCTTCCCCCTTATGGAGTAGCCTATTTTAGGAAAAATAGGTGATGCTTCTTCAATAATTGTATCATCATTCCTCCATATCTACTAAATCTTGTCTTCACATTATCATGCATATATCTTGAGCAAAAAATCAAGCATTCCTCGGTCAAACACCCTTTTGCTATGGATCCTTCGGACGACTTCGATTGCAAACATATGACTTTAGCTTACATAAGTCCCGCTCAATCGAAACATATAACGATAATGCACCGGGCCATCAAGTTTAATTTTATACACTAAATGGATAGGCAAATGCACCATTATATCAAAAAAAAAAAAAAAAAAAACTAGGAGGAAAAGTTATTTCAAGTCAACAAAGTGTCCGAATAATTTTTTGTTGTTGCTCAAGCTCTTGTAGCTTTACAACTTTGCTACATATACCCTTAAAGAAATCACCCAATTTAATTAAGGCAATTGCAACATTGTTTAGCAATGTTTTTCTTACAGCAATTTGAAGCAAATAATGCATGATAAAATGAGCATCATGGCTCTTATACCCCGAAATTTTCTTCTTCCTCGCTTGCACACATTGTGCAATATTTGATGCACACCCTTATGGTAACTTTACTTATTCAATACTATATAGAATAATTTTTTCTCTTTAGGGGTCATAGAAGAACAAGCTTTAACTAGCCTAATCTTCCCATCCTCATTCAACTAAAATGGTTGAAGCTCCTTCCTTATACCCATCTCTTGTAGATCAAAGCATGCATTTAAATGATCTTTTGTTTTCCTAGGAATATCTAATAATGTCCCCAACACATTATCACATACATTTTTCTCTATATGCATTACATCTAAATTATGGTGTAATGTATTATGCTCCCAATATGGTAATTCAAAAAAGATAGACTTTTTCCTACATGGATCATCACTCTTTATCGTCTTTTTTTTTCCCCAAACACATTGCTGAAATTAGACAACTTATCTAAAATTTCAGGCCCCGATAAAGAAATCGATTTTCCTCTCAACTCCATATCTCTATTGAAGATTTTTTGTCAAATCGCCATGAATGGTGCTCATCTAAAAGTCTTCGATGACCCATATAACATGTCTTCCTACCGTATTTTAAATATTCGGAGCAAGTTTCATAATTGCATTTCGAGCACGCCAAGCTGTCCTTTAGTGCTCCATCCGGACAGACATTGCATAGGTTGGAAAATCACTAATTATCCACAACAAGGTTGCATGCATGCGTAAAGTGTGGTTTGTTAAAGTGTTATAAGTATCAACACCAACCTCTTACAAATTCTTCGATTCTTGAATTAATGGTTGCATGAAGACATCAATGTCTTTTCCGGGAGATTTAGGATCCGGAATTATAATGGACAACAAATAGTATTCATGCTTTGTGCAAATCCATGGCGACAAGTTATAATTGATTAACACCATCGGCCGAGTGCCATGAGAAATACTCATAGTTCGGAATGGATTGAATCCATCACTAGGAAGACCTAATCTCACATTTCGAGAGTCTTGTGCAAACATAGGGTGAAGATAATCAAAATCCTTCCAAGCTTTCCCATCGGTAGGATGCCTTAGATTTTCATCATTTGGACGCTTCGTTGAATGCCATCTCATTCTTGTAGTTGTTTCTTCACACATAAATAACCTTTGAAGCCTAAGTCTTAAAGGAAAGTATCTTAACACCTTAGTCGGGATTTGGTAAGTACTAGTTGAATGACTATTGATATCTCCTTGAAAATTTTCATCCAACATATACCTAGAGGCACCACAAATATGACAAACAATAGCATTTTCATGCTCATTCCAAAATAACATACGATCATTTGGGCATGCATGAATTTTTTGGTAATCAAGACCTAAATCTCTAACTCGTTTTGCTTACTTTGTTGAAAAATTCTAAAATATTTGCTTCGGGAAAAGCCTCTTACAATAACTCCAAGAGATCACCAAATGCAACATTACTAAGTCCATAGAGGCACTTAAAAAGATATAACCGAATAGTGAAAGAAAGTCTTGAGAAATTCTTACAACCCGAAAACAACTGTTGTTTTCCTTCCTCTACCAACTCATAAAATTTCTCATCCTCCTTAGTTGGCCATTCTCGAACTCCTTGGGTGTTGGCAACTCCTTCGACAACATTTCTAAAAACATCATGTAACATGCCATCTATGTCATCAACATTTTCTGCTCCCACATCATCAAAGGGAGAATCTTCATTATACATTCTTAATGATAACCCCGTCCATGAAAAACCCATTCATTATACCTTAAAGAAAGTCGTCCGTAATTAAATCATCACGCACGATCATTCTATACTCCCAATAACGGTTGTAGCACCGTTTGCAAGGGCAAAGAATCTCTTCCCCTTGAGTTGCTCTCCGAAATGCCTTGTACAAAAAATTATCCACTCCATTCATATATGCTTCACTAATTCTTGGAAGAGTTATCCAACTCTTATCCATAACTTGAAGCTTCTAATACAATCAATTATTATTACAAATTAGAATCCACATAATGCACAAAAAAGGTAGTAATATGAAACCTTTCAAGTCCTAATCAAGCATTTCATTAAGAAAATTCAACCATAAAAAAGGACAATAATAAGGAAAGTAATAAAAAACGCTATAAATCTCTAAAGAAAGGGAGTTTACACCTTTAATGTTGCAGCTTTTATTAATAAATGTTTATTATTATTATTTTATTTTTTAGTTCAACATCCAATGAAAGGATACATGACATCCAATGAAAGGAAATTGGTTTGAATTTTTTAGTCCAGATCGTTGGATTTTAATTTGAAATTCTCAACTGACTTCACGTTCTGTAGCTAGCATACAGATGTACTGTAGCCAGCACGCAGCACATCACTACGAGCCAACCCGTAGCACATCACTGCGAGCCAGCACGCAGCACTCCTGCGAGCCAACATGCAGGTTACTGTAGCCAGCACACAGCACATCACTGCGAGCCAGCACGTAGTGCTACTGTAGCCAGCACATATGACCACTGTGAGTCAGCACGCATGGCCACTATAGCCAGCACGCATGAAAGTCTCTGGAGGACAAACTTCATCTACAGCTCAAACACTCTAGGTCTTATCTTGCACAGCTGTGATATCTATCTTTTACAGCTATAATATTTATCTTATAATGTGTAAATAAACCTTATTCTGATTGAGAAATATTAATCAATACAGTTATTCATGAAATCTTTACAGGGGAAATCTTTGTGATTTAAGTTGGTTATTATATATATGCTACAGAATTCGAACAAGAGTACAAATGAATAAGTGTCACAAAGAAAGCAAAAAACAAATGCTATTGAAAATCCTGAACGATGGAAAATGAAACTGATGGAAGGCCACAAAGTTTCATTCAAAGGTTCATTTTATTTTTCATGCATCCTAACTGCTGATGTGATCAGTTTATTTTGCTATTGAAAATACTGAATTAAAATTTTGTGTCAACCCTTGCATTAATACTTAAAACACTAGGATTTCAATGTATAATGTATTCCATCTGTTGCTAGTCATATACAGAGTAAATGTATTGGTAGGGAGTTGGCAATTTCGTTTGTTCCTAGATAGTGGTAGTTTGTCGTTCAGATTGGCAAATGTTGTAGCCATTGTTAATGCAACAATTTGTATGGGTGTGAATTGCTTTAAGTGAAATATTTTTTCACATATTCTCCTTTCTCTTCCTTTGGCCATGTTTTCAGCTTGCTATATGTTCTTTTTTTTTCTTTAATATTATCTGGCTTTCAATTTTATGTTTTCATTTTTACTCCGAGACATTAAAACTTACGGATTCGAATCCCTTTTCATACTCTGGGAAGATAGTTGAGTGTTCTTGGAATTCAGATGAAAATGTATGGGTCTGTATGGAGGTCCGGATTGATAAATCATCTCCAAATGAGTTCAATACCTTGAAGGTTTGTTTTATCACTTTTATATATGTATATCTATATATGAATTGTTATGCATGTATGTCTTGTGTATTTGTCATGCTTTAACCTATATGCTATTGACATATCAATTTGACACTATTCTTCTTTATCTCTTATGTTTTTGATGAATTCATAAAATGGACTAAATGAACCTTCTTTCTGATTCTTAACAAATTACATTAAAAATGAAAAATAGTTTAATATGTTTTTGATGAATTCATCAAGTGGACTAAACTACATAAAACCAATCTTGGACTGACAAACAGTGTTTTACAGGTTGCTCTTAAACTAGTGCATGATAGTAAAACCTTCATTGATCTGTTAAAGCCAAAAGATGAAACCTGTGACACCCTTAAAAAGGATATGCAAACATTGATCTCATTATTTATGCCTTTTCTAGAAGAGATCTAATCTATTATGGTATGCCTCCGAATTAATGCTTTCTGACTCTTATATACAGTTTCTCTTTTATTTCTCTGGTTGCTTAGATCTCTTATTTTTTTCTCTTCCTTTCTCTTGATTTGCAGATATTGTATGGACGGGATAGGTTGAAATCTACTTAAGGTGAAAACACATAAAGATGGCCACAAAAAACACGCACAAGAAAGCAGAGCAAATGTACAAAGTTTTGTCTTATATATAACCTCAAGTTTCCTATTTAGTTTCTTTCGTGTAACTATGAATTTTGTGAATAGCTGAACGAGTTACATGAAAAATATGCTACAAGACTAACTTATTATAATATCCACATCCTCTATCTTTATAACAAATTGAAGGAAGTGCTGTAAACCCATAAGCAATAGAAATCAGGGAAGGACTGATTTATTTTCAACAAGTTAGCAATATATAGAATAAGACATTTAAGCTAAGTTTACATGCAGGTGAAGAGTGCAAGGTTAGGCAATAAATGGTCATTTCAACAAAGTCAATATGTTGGACTAGAAGAAACTGAAACTCATATGTTAGCAGCTTCGTGAAAAAACCTGTCACCTTGCGTATTGTTTGACCTAAGATACAGTTAGCTACAGTTAACTAGTATGAAATTTTGTGTCCAAAATAGAGTTTCAAGTTTTGTTGTTTTCTATGCTAGGTACTTAGTTTTTTAACCTAGGCTTTGATATTTCGAATTACTTGTAACCCGAGAATACATGATATAGAAGAATTGTTTGAATCATCCATTCATTCTCCTTACAGTGGTGATTATTTGTACATAATCTATCTTTCCTTACTCCATCTTCTCTTTTGATCTTTGCATCCATCCACATAACCATAGTTTCCTTTAAAATTCCAACCTCACCTTTTTCGGTATCAAAAACACAATAACAAATAACTGAAAAACTCGTGGCACAGATAGTGGTGCTATATCATCAAAAATGGACATCAGTGTCATCATTAAAAGAGTTACTCTACTCAAAATCTGCTGCTTGCAAATTAGTTTCTACATGAAAAATCCAATTTTTGCTTTCAAATCGATCCTACCAACTATTCTCATTTTGAATCCCTAAGGGAAGCCACCCCAACAGAAGCACCAGGAGTAAACCCAAAATTCTAATCCACTAATATCTCTACCCAAGCACAGAAGGGAGATAAATATCACTAAAACCCACAATATCAATGGCAATACATAGTTCAGAAAATCATCAAATCACAGAACATCTATAGAATGAATCAATCAAAATAAAATTTGTTTGACATTACAAAAATTATAGAAATTTAGCCTTCAATCCTCAAATGATTTTGCCAAATCTGAATGTCTCTCTGTACCCATAAAATTAGAAAGAGTAGAAATAATGAGCTAAAATTTAACCACCCCATGAACAAACAGAAAAATCAATAACTAACACTAGCAAATCAAGTCCTAAAGCATCAAAAATTAATAAGTAAGGAGAGAAACCCAGTACCCAGTCCTAAAGAGATGAATTAAAACAAAATCACATACAATATCAAGACCTAAAGAGATAAATTACACGAAAAATGCATAGCTGAAAGAAGATACAACTTCAACCCAATTTTGCCCAATCCTTCAACAAAAAACTATGAAATTCTTACACTCCGTTTTTAATAGTTGTTAAGACTTCAATCTAAGCTACCATTTAATTGATACATTGACATTGTGTTTTGAATCTGAAGAGAGAGCGAGAGAAAGAGAAGAGAGACATAGACAAAGATAGAGAAAGGGACAGAGTGAGAGAGAGAGAGAGAAGAGAGACTGGATGTGTTTCGCGATAGAGTGAGAAAAATTAAGTTTTTTAGCGAGTTAGGAATTTCACTTAAATTTTTAAATGCAACGATTTGGAACTGTTGCATAAAATACTTGTTTGTAGCGGTTTTGATAAACCACTGCTTATTAAAAGCAAATGCATCAATTTATGCAACGGTTTACTTAGACAGGGGAGGAAATACAATATTTGACTGCAACGGTTTTAAAACTGCTGCAAAACCGTTGCATTATATTAAAATATGCAACGAATTTTTATCCGTTGCTAAAAAACCGTTACATAATGTTAAAAATGCAGTAGTGAGCTATGGAGTAAAGATGATAATTAGCGACGGATGATACTCAATCAATAAATAGAGATGAAAATAGCAACAAAATTGCGAGGATATTGATGATTAAAAAATAATGATCGCACAAATAACTATAAAAATAAGTGAAAATAGCGACAATTAAAGATAAATACGAGATCTCGGAGACGATTGATTTGGAATCATTTAGCGACGGAATATCAACAAAGTAGTGATGGAAAATACTTTGCTAAATAGCGATAGGAAAAAAATTCGTTTCTAAAAAAATAGCAACCACCACTTTAAATACAAATTGAATTTTGTTTCCAATCCATCACTGAAGCTATTTAGCGATGAATTTCGAGAAACAACAATGTAATAATGTGTCACTATTTTTTGAAATTTTTGTAAAGAAAGTGTTAGGCGAAGTATCGTTGAATGATTTCTATAAATGTGATAAAATTTGAATTTGTGATCATTCGGTGATTAACGTTTTAATATCATATTAAAAAACTATTATAATTCAAAAAATTTAAACTATTAAATAATGTCTTATAATGATTTTGTATTAACTCTCTAATAATTAATTTTTTTCTTTGTTGTTAAATTTTGTCAATTTATAAGATTGATTTTTTTTCTTATATAAAATAGGATTGTTATAGACAGATATTATTGCAAGACACTACTTATCGCTAGCATGTTCGTTAAAAAATCACGAAATTTAATTGTAGAAAAAAAAATTGGTCGCTATCTAACTTTATGGAATGACAAATTGAAAATTGCAAGGAGGAAAATGCAGCACGATGCGCACCCTATGGCCTGTAGATACCCTTTCGCTTAGGGACAGCGTGTTGTCAAGAAGTGGCGTTCAAAACGGCGAGTAAAAAGTATGGCAACCTGCTCACGGGCAACTATCCATTCAATGTTTGCCACTATCATATGAGCTGTCATGTCTTTGTCAGGCCACCAAAACAAATGAAGCTCGATTGTTCCTATTTTGCTGATATAAAATGAGCATATTTTCAGTATCACTTACTCTACGTGGCTTTTTTCCAAATGGATGTTGAAAAGGATATATAATTTTAGTGCAGCTAAACTCTCGTATAGTGAGCTAAAACACATCATTTTGAACCTTTTTATCTTAAAGCGTCCTTTTTCTTGAAAAAAAAATGATTTTTTTGGTCATTTTGTTACACTTTAGTCTTTTGATCTTTTATTTTATAAAAAATGTTTCCTAACTTTAATTATTGTTACAAAAAAAATCTTTGTATTTTTTTTAGATGATGTGCTTCAGCATAGTCGCATGGGTTTGTTTGAGTGTAGTTCCATACGAAAAAGCCTGGGGTGAGCCCAACCCATTCTCTCTCTCTCTTTTATGCCTTTTTCATTATTTATTATTTATTCAAAATAAAATTTTCTTCATAATTAATCGTTATTTTTTATTTTTGTATAAATTCATTAACTAAGATTAAATATTCTTCTAATATAAATTGATTTAACACCTTCTTTTAATTTGGTCTTTTTAAAATAATAAATTAATTACATGCTTTTTTTGATTGATCAAAATAAAAAAATATTCCTAAAATTTACTTAGACTCAATTTCAAAATATATATTACATAATACACATTAAATTAAAAAAAATTCCACAATTAATATTAATTAATTTTTATTTTACATCTCAATTTTTGAATTATTTAAAATATATTATATAATAAATTTACTTGCAGCAACGCACAGATACTGTGCTAGTAATACCTAAAAACACAGGCTTTATCAATAGTTTGAACCATGATTGTAACATAAAATGACAAATATTGGATAGGTGCAGTATTGCGATGGTTCCGTTTTTCAATAGTGACCTTTCATAGTTTTGGTTTGGTATGTGCTTTAATGATTTGGTTATGATAGGTGCTGATGACTGATTGCACGTGGCTCTCATCTTTGGACTGGAGTAGTTGAATACGCTGCTGGGACTTTTGGATTTCTTGTACCCACAAGTGTGTACCGCAGGTGACGGCTTATTGACAGTGGCGGACCCGGAAAAGTTTCTGTTATCACGATTGCATTTAATAAAATGATAATTATATTTTAAATCAAATTGTTAAATAATAAAAATATGTAAATTAAAATAAAAAACCACAAATTGAGTAGATACATTCATCTCATTAGATTAAAAGGATATATAAGAATAATTATGTGTGTTGTGCATAGAGACCGACCTTTTGATTTTTGATTTTTTAAGGTTTCTGTTAAATATTTACACATGTATTACAGAAAAGCACGAAGACAGAAATAAAAAATGAAAAAAAGATGGTGTTCTGTTCGGTTCCATGAATAATTTAACAACCAAGGATTATAATTACATGGATTATTTTGTAACTTAAAGAGTTAAAATATTATTTACCCAAAATCAAATTACTAAGCGAATGGGTAGTTTTGTAAGAAAACATACCAATGTGACTTGTATATTAGTATTTTTATATTCTACATGCATTCAATATAGGTGTCGGATTGTACTATAAGTACTATACCTTTGTATTCTTGGATATATATATATATATATATAAAATTTGTCATACGGGTTATGCATTTATTGGAAACCCTATTATGTAAAGTCTCTAGCTTTAAGTTGGCATAAAGCAGCCGATGAAAAATTGCCTTCATGGATCCTCAAAACACAATCCCTTCTTTGACAACTGCTCATGTTAAACCAGCAGCAGATAACGACTACTGCTGCACCTAATCAGCAGCTGATCATGCACCTGTGATTCCCATGGTGCGGAAGAGCTTGCTCTCTCTGTTGGGTTTGGTCCCTTCTCATGTGGGGTTCAAAATCCTTGTATACAAAAATAAGAAGAAAAAAACAGAAATTGTCTAACTAATGTCGGTCATGTGTGACCACTAAAAAAGTCACTACTTTTAGACCTTTTAATGATCCAACAAATTAAGACATCTAACCAGGTAGCCAACATAAAAAACAAGCCAGCGGCAGCTAGGGGTGATTATTCGACTAAACGGTTCAATTTTGTACGATTCGGTTCGATTTTCAATTAATC